TAAACCATCTTTATAGTGTCTAAGGGTAGCTAAACGCGCAACACAAGCGTTATTTGCAGTAAAACGAGGTTTGGTTCACATCGACAAGGAACTGTTCAGAAAAAACCTACGGAGCATTTGTTTGGTGCCACGTACGTTTAAAAAGGTTTACCTGCAACTGGAACGAGGGCAGGCGAGGGCGAAGAAGGTGGTCAAGGAGCTTGGTCATCTGCCTTTTAAGCCAGACTGACTGAACGGGGTTTGTTTCTTCACAATTACAGGCAACTCCGCGATGACCTCATTTAAACCTACCGAATTATCAGGGGTCGTGGGTTTGTCCTAGAAAGTGCAAAGTGGTTGGAGAGTGGGACTGACTCCCTGACGAGGCGGGCCCTTCAGAAACTTTTGCTACGTTTAAAAGAAAACTCGAATCTCGTTTGCTGAGAAACTGCTGTTTAGATAATGAGCATTGTGTCAGTAGCGGCAGTTTGCGACTGGCTCGTGCATATTGTTGACGTTAACTCTAAAGTTGTCATATGTTTTTAGAGTAAAAATGTTTTTCCTATCGTTGGATATGAGTAGGGAGCCCAAGGATGAAAGCTTTATCCCCTCAATACAGTGACTTAAATGTCCTGTTGTTGAAGAGGCACTGTATAGACACTAAAATTATCTCCGACTTACCATTTTGTTGACCGGGAACAAAGAGGACGAGGACGGCCGCGCGGGAGCAAATTGGCCTGTCGACCACCACCTTTCGCGTCAGCGTATGTTCACGAGGTCCACCAGAGCAGGTACTGACCAATCAATAAATTGACTGATGTCACGTGACTGTCACAAGGTGATTTACATGAGCGAGATGGTAGCGGAATTAACTTGAAAGTGGAGTTGTGCGTTGGTTTTATGGGTGAAAGTTTAATTTAGGGTGTACTGCAGCTTATTTAAATAACCAAATATTTGTGCGCTATCATTAAAATAGTTCAATTGGGCAGTATTGGGCCTTCTTCTTTTTTATTGGGTGTATTTCTCATTTTATTCATCGGGCGCTAATATTTGGTTATTTCAATAAGTTTTCCTATTTTTTTCTATTTTTATTTGCTCTAATTTTTAAATTATTGTTTCCTTCTCCTGATATGCCCACCCATTTAATCCTTATTTCCACTTGTCCGTATTACAGAAGGATGGGTTCGGCACCAGAGGCATAGTCAGAGAACAATAGCAGATAGGGTAGCACATGCACAGGAGTTTGCAGCATTTATAGGATGCAGTAATTACTGCAAACATACGACAACAATTAACCCTAATTGCCTTCTTGAGTGTTGATTATCTGCGCATGTCTCAGACTTGTTTACGATTACCAATGACTAAGGATTCCCGGCGGAATCCGAAACGTAAGGACAATAAAACTCTTGTTCCAGTGATCGTTTCTTCTTCTTCTTCTTCTTC